TGGTAAATCTAATATAGTTTATAGTTATACTGTTTCTGATATGAATCCTAATAAAAATCATTGGCCCATTCTTATGCTTGAAACTTAATGAAAAAGAGAAGCTGAAGGTACGAAAAATATGTATGATGACAAATATAATTTATTATTCTGCCAAATCTCTACCAACACTGCTGTGGTAAAAGAATATTGATAGGGCTAGACGATATATTAAATAAAATAAAATAAAATAAAATAAATGTAATAAATAAATCTTCCCCCTATTGATCAATTTAATTTGATTCTTTTTTGTTCTGTTGTTAAAAAAAGCTTAGTGACAATTGAATCAATCTTGATTAGATTAAAATGAATTAACAGCTCTAACTATTGAAATGAATTAGAGCAGATGACTTGCTGAATACAAAAAACAAAATTAATTTCCCTACTCCTCTAGAACATACTTGTAAAACAGAAATAGTAATAAAAAGAAAGAGAGCTTTGCAGAAGGCGAGTGTTGTGCATGTCAGCAGTGCAGCAGAGTGAGTTAGCTCAGCTCAGCTCTGCATGGCTCTGTACTGGAGGTGGGGTGGTGTCCGTTGCGTCCGGAGACTCAGGGCTGGACAGCGAGCTGCTTTTTGTTCTCCCCTTCACATTGCCAACTCCAGCTGTCACACAGAGGGACAATAGAGGAGCAGAAGAAAGAGGAGGGGGTGCTTTGTGAATGGGAGAAAATAAACTGGAGTGCACCCCCTCCTCCTAAAGACTCGTCATCTGCATTTGACAGGACCCCCACTCTCCTCTCCTCACCGCCCCTTTTCTTCTCTTTCTGCTCTCCATAATCCCCCTCTCCGGCTTGCCTCTCCCTGCTAAGTGCAGCTGTTGCTCTCCTTTGGGTTTTTTTTTTTTTTTCAAACTGATTGCTAATTAGGATACCATTTTAGTTTTATCTTTAAAACTTGTTCAATTTGCTATCTCCTGCTTCCTTTTCCTTTACGTCTCAGGGAGAAGCATTGAAAAGCCTCACCAATTATGCACAATCTACTTCCCACTCTGCTGCCAGTCTTGTGTAGAGCGTGCATATAGTTCACACCTACTGTACTTTGGGCTGTGGCCTCTCATTGAATGCAAAGCCCACTTTAAAGAATAGCCCGGGCCATCTCCCTTATTCCGCTCACATCACTGGGTCCCTGGGAGTGGAGCCTGAGAAAACAGCAATTCACACAGCAAACACAGAGACCCCTAGTAGCTCAACAAATGAGTGACTAGCCCTACGTCCATTCATATCGGCCCTCGGCCCGCAAGCCTATTAGCCAGGCATCGCTCCTTGAACATTCACTGTCGACAACATGTGGAGGCATCGCTATAGCAACCGGTGGATATGACATGTGCAATGGACGGGGGACTCCTGAGCTGCTGAATATAAGGAGGGGCTCAGCCTTAACTAAATGATGGCAAAAAAGCCAGCCCGCCGCCTCCCGCTCTCTTTTCATTGGCACAGAGGCGCTGAAAGGACTCACTAGTGGGGCTTCTGCACATTCTTCCAGGCTCGGAAAATCAGGCGGGCATATCCCACATTCTTCTCCCCTTTTCTCCCTTTCTCCCGCTTTCTTCTTCATCTCCGTGTTGAAGCCGCGCTCTTTTGTTGGCGCCGGGAGGGAGACGCATGGGACCCGAAGCAAAAAGCAAAAGGGGAACTTTTTTCTGGTGGTGGAGGAGAGGACGAGTGAGGGAGAGAGGGAGTGAGGGGGCGGCCGGAGTCGCACACACGGAGCTGCCCAGATCAGCGGCAGTGGTTTAAGCAGCGCTCTGTGGAATACACGCACGGCATCGCACTGAGCATGTGTGCTCCTCATCACGCCATGAACTCAGGTAATGGGCTACATTCACTTCAAATGCTGATGGGTACATTATTGAGATAGTGTGGATGAAATATGTGAGGCAGACAGTCAAACTTGTGCAGTGTAACATTAAGGGTGTATGAGCTACTAGAGTATGGGAAAGATTGGTGGGATTGGTGTAAAAAGCATCTGGAGTGAAGTCTTCTCTTTGCTTCTTTTTAAAAGAGACAGAATATGATGGATGAAAAGATGAAAGTTTGAGTGTGAGTGCAGCTCGTGTCACATCTGCCTCCTGGATAAAGTTAGTCCTGTGCAGTGAGGCTGTGTCCTGGTCTGTGTGTGCAGAAAGACATGGAAAAATCTGCAGAATATTGTCAAGTGTAAGGCTCCAAAAAACGTCTGCAAGCTCAGTCAAAGAAATGTTCCAATTCATGATTTTTTATTGTTGTTTTTATGTGAACAAAATGTGTTTTGTTGCTTCTATCAAGATTTACACATGCCTTTCTATGCACTAGAGGGGGAAATACTCTTTTGACTCACTAATGCTTTTTATTTTTTATATTCTAATATAATAGCGATTGGCTAATTTTGTGTGTATGAACAGATTTCTACAAAATGTTTGGCTATTATTATTTTAGATTTTTCAATTCCCATTATTCATAAAAAGTCTACTTTTTAAAGCAGTAAAATGTTATTATTTGGGTTCTTTTGAGACATGTCTGATTTCGTGGCTTTGTAGGATTTTGTCTTGATCTTTTTCACGGTTTGGAGAGTGAATGGATAGCAGGGCGTCCACACCTCAAATCCTGACCTTTTCTCTGTCATTTAAATAATCCCAGCTCCGAAATCCATCTGGCCTGGTCTGTCCCTCACACTGAGGCATTCACAGACACACATCCACAAGGAGAAAGTCTATGTGATTTCTAATATATGATAATATATGTAATATAGTCGATCAAATCATGTTCATCACAATTTTTGTATTGAATTAAACAATATTCCAAAAAAAATCTAATTCAAATTGTATTGTCTGAAATCAGTGGGAATTGTGTATTTTTTTTATTTTTATATAAATTTACACTAATGTGTATTTTGTACATTTAATTAAAGCAGAAAAATAAGGCTCAATAAAAACTCACAATTTGATTAAACAAAAATTATAATAAAATCTTGAACTGAAGGTGATATCAGAGCAAAATACATATATGCTGTATTAAATGTAAGGATTGAAAAAGATTGAAAGTAAAGCTGCGGAAGCTAATGAATAGCTGAGTGAAGGCCCACGGAGCTAATTCTGAGCCTCCAATCTCCGCCTTCTCCTCCTCCTCTTTTCTTCCTCCCTCTTTCCTCAAACGACATAACACGATTAACGCCTTCAAACGCTCTTTAATGTTTGCTCTGCATTTCTAGCCCTTGTGCTCCAACCATTTTTCATACTTTTCAATGTGTTTACCTCAACTTATTTTTAAAAGTAATTGTTATATGATGTACTCTTTATAGCTAAACGGTCCAAGTATTTCAGAACTTGTAAAAACATTTAAAAAAAAACATTTCTATATCAGCTGTTAGCATGTGTTAGTGTTTACATCTCAGCTTTACTTGTCTCATAAACACTCTGTTGTTGTCCAGACTCATAATACTTGATTACAACTACCCCACGCGTTGTAACCACGGCGATTGCAATCACCACCAACTGCCATCAGTCGCCGGGGCCGCAGTAAAACGACCTGGGCTTTAACCGCGCCGCTAAAACATTGGCAATTACAAGCCACAAGGTCAGAGCGCATTGTTACTGGTGCGAGGTGAAGTGTCTTGTTTGGAGAACGCTATAACAAGATGTAGCCATCCCTCAGCCCCCCATTAGACCCCCGGGCGAAATGTCAGATGCCCCGCCATTTTTTTTCCCTCCAACGCTGTACATTTGATTCAGTCGTGCTATCAATCTTTCACTATTGCACGCAGACAATTAGGGGCCCGTTGATGTATTTGCGCGGCGTTATTGATATTGCCCTTTCAGAGACGTATTGCCGTGCATACATACATTACACAACTGTTATGGTTTTGTATCACTCATAAAGCCTGAGGTGATTTATGAGCTGGTGAATACGCTTGTGGATACATTTGCCGCCATTTTAAAAAAAAACTTAAACTAATGTGTGTGTTTTATGCAATCTGGATAAATATGAGCCCATATTAGGTATCATTAATTATCCTTCCCAATTATCGCTGCTGTGTCTTTCGGCGTAGAGGCCCTCTGGGAATGTATCATTACAGTAAATGGCCATGAGTGGAGCAATTATCTTCACCGTTCTTTAACCTGTGCCGATAATAATCTCTTGGCATTTTTTGTGCATTCAAAATAACACACCTAACTGCATTTCTAATTATTTGAAGCAGTGTTTTGTGGTGGTGGGTGCTCTAAGCAAAGTTCTAGCTTGACCCCCCCACCATAGTCCACCCTGTAGCCATTAACTGAGCGTCTCCAGCCAGAGTCTAATCCAGCCAAACCCAGGACCAGAGGAGCTAATTAAGCCCAGGCTTTTAGTGTCCCTGCCTCCTGTAGTCGCCCAGTGCCAGCCCGCCCCATGCCAGCACTAAATGGGCTTGTAAATATCTATAGTGGTTAGACAGGCAGTGGACAGGAGCCGGTAATAGGCCTTGACTGAGTCTGAATACACATTATAAGGCTAGTGTTGGAGCAGGCTAATGAGTGGGGCTGGCCAGAGCAGGAGTTAGCAATGGGAGAACTGCTGTGGTGAAAAACAAGGTGATGTTTTGCTGTAGAGGTGGGAGAGATGTCGAAAAATGATAATATCGCTTATTGTTGTTCTGGAGATATGTTACATTAGAATATTGAGTATACTGTCTATAACTACTTAAAATGACAGCAGAAAAGTAAATGAAAAATGAAAATTTGTAGTGTAATCTTCCAAACAAGACTATAAAGTAGTATTTCTGTACTTATGTGGTTAATTGTAAGGTCTGAGCATATTTTGAGCAATATTTTAACCCAAAACTTTTACAGACACATTTTAGCATATTAGTGATGCATGGCTAAAATACTGTCATCAATAAAATGAAAAAAAAAAAAAAAAGATCCAGGTATTCATTTTTGTCAATATCGCCCATCAGCCCTGTAGACTGTACTAGCAGGTTTTAAAGTGAAATTTTGTCTTTGTTTTACAGAGGGGCACCCTGACCCAGATCCCTGTGGTGAAGGAGACGCGTGTGGAGTCTGGCCAGTTCCTGCTCCTGTCGCTCCTCTGCATGCTCTTCATCCTGGTGGCCCTGGCAGTGTCCGGCACCTTCTTCTGCGTGCGCCAGCGCTCTCACCTCCACATGAAGGAGAAGTTAGCCAGCCTCGGCACAGACACCAGCACTGATGCTACAGCCACCTATCAGGTAAGAGCAACCCATTGCAACCAGCCAATCACAGGCCGCCATTCAGACCCGGCTCTGGGATTGGAGGAGGATGCTGTGAGGAAATGTGGTTAAGGGTCTGATTGGCTGATTTGTAAAAATATATGAACAATATGCAAATTTGGTCCTGTTCAGGGATGAGAAATTTAAGCAAGGGAAACTATGTATACTGGTGGTGTGAAAGTGTGATCTAGATGTTTCTGTCAAATGTTTCATCTAATGCTTACTTTCTGTTAAGGTAAAAGGTCAAGATAAATCTTACATTATAAAATGTGTGATTTCACTTTGTTAAAAACACGCATTTATAGGTTAGTGTTTCAGCGTGCTGAACTGCTTATTTTAAATGCATCTTTGTAGTTCAAAGTTTTATAAAAAGCTTCTTTCAGAAATGATGTGAACTTGAGATGATGGATACAGTAAGTAAGGGAAGAAAGTATCTAAATGTCCAAAAAAGTAATAGAAACTACCTTTGACCTTTGTGTTTGTTTAGCCTACCTTCTTTAGTATATTCCCATAACTGCTGTGTGCTGGCTGTAGTGCTCACAGCTCTGCTCTTAGTCACAGCTCACCTCGTGTCTGGGCTCTGTGTGTGCAGTGCAGTGGGAGACAGGAGAGCGACCCGTCGCTCTGACCTATTCCCTCCGTTCCTCGGGGGCCGCGGGCAGCCGGGCCTCTATTGATTTTCAGAGCTGGGGCTCAGCTGTGCCCAGCGTGGCACTCACAACACATTTATCTGCATGTCGCGTTAACATTTTCAATATTTAATCAGGTTTTCACAGAGCTGCTTTTCCATCAAATGCTGGAGAAGCAACAGAAAAGTTAGACGAGATTATTAGCAGGGCTGTGAATATATGCAATCATTTCTTCTCTTACATTGAGGAAAGGATTGTGTTGTCACGCCTTGTGTATTTGCGAGGAGGCAGAACGCATATCTTATTTTTAGGTGAAATTACTTGTCTGAAAGCGTTTGAAATGAGAAAATCCAAGCAATGTTCCTTTCTAAGCTTCATGATTCTCAACTCCTGCCCCCTACTACATGCTGCTGCCTGACTGTGGGATCTTTGCAGAGGAGTGGAGAGGCGCGATGAGTTATGAGGAGGACCTAGATATCGCCCCGAGGCCAAGGCCCAGGGCACCACTTCATGGCTCTAATCATTAAAGTCTGACGGCTGCACAAGCTGATCCAAGTCCACGGCTTAGTCTAGTGTAGCTTCCAGGGGAAATCTCACTGTGATGCTGCTGTAGATCATGAGTTAGCATGTGCTTTCAGAAGGCTAGCCCTCTGTGGCCTCGCGCAGCTAATTTACTATGGAAATGAAGTCGGAAGCAATGGAGGACTTTTTCATTCAAAGCCAAACTTGTAGATGATAGTAAATTTAGCAGTTACTTGACAATTACCACACACGTTTTGAATGAGAATTTGTCCACGAGGCTGCGAGCAGTCAGACAATTTGGATAGTGCATTAAGCAGTGTCTGCAGTGAGGCATGATGGGAAAGGAAAGCTGAGTCATGGGCGCTGTTATCCTAAGAGCAGTTGGTGAGACAGACTTTTTAGTTGGGACCTGGAAATATCAATCAAAACAGAGAATTATACCCCACAACTACAGCTAATACATTTTAATCTCCTCTGGCTTTGTGTGCCTATTTACCACTGAGGCCCTGTTTGATTTATGAGCCCAGTTTCCTGTCAACTTTCTATCTCTTTCTACACAACGTATTTATTTCTCGCGGGGCATAAGTGCAGGAGTGATTGGTGCTTCTTGTGTTTGGGAGTAAAAGATCACAGCTAAATGATTCATTTGCAGACAGCTGTTGCGTGGCACTCAGGTGTGACACAGGGAATTTATTTTGGAAAATTGTGTCGACTTTCTCAACCATGCACTTTTTTTGACATAATTAGTATAAGCTTCATAATCCACACGGATAAGCCATTAATCTACATACAAGTGAGGACAGATCAAGTCAGGCGGGATTTTCCGGAGAACTCAGCCCCTCACAGCGAGGATAAGCGGGAATGTACTGAGGAGTATTGTAGCATGCACAAAAAGGAGAAGGATAAACAGTGTATAACGAAGGCCCTCTCTGGGATCTGTACACAGGAGTTATGTCGGCAGCGCATGGCTATCAGGACTTCAGAGCGCGTGGAGAGGCCAGAGACGCTTCGCCATCATTCCCGCCTCAATAGTGTTTCGTCCCAGTTCAGCGATGGTCCAGCGGCCAGCCCCTCCACGCGTAGCAGCACCTCCTCCTGGTGTGAAGAGCCAGTGCCTTCCAACATGGACATCTCTACCGGGCACATGATCCTGGTAAGACTCACCCACCCACACTGGCCTGGTACAGATACTTGTGCTTGTATTGGACATAGTAACCACATGTGAGAATGGTTTTGCTTATAGTTGAAGTAGTGATGTTATGCTATCCATGCTTTTAACAGAATGAGGAAAAAATTAAGTTGTAGCATAGTTGCCATAACGTTTAATAAATATTCTGTCTCTTTTGAATGGTGAAAAGTTCTCAAAATGGTGCTCATCAAAACAAAAAATTAACACTATATTAGAGATACTTTTTTTAAATTATTATTTTGAAATGCTTCTAAAAAATGTCTAGCTAATTGGTTATGTACTTATTACTTGTCAGTACTGGTTGGTTTAGACAAGAGTTTTTCCCAGACATTTTCAGCCATAATTTTGAAAGGAGAATGGATGATGTGTAAACTTTTCTTTGGTCAAATTTTGCACAAGGCTCACACTGCTTTAAAATGAGATCTATTTCCTTCTAGGGTTCATACTATGGATGCACTGTGACTTGGTAAATCCTCATGTCAGTCACTCAGAGCATGACAGAGGCTGACCAGTGGATTATGTGGAGGGGGAAAAGTTTTTGTGTGTGTTTGTGCATAGAGCTGCATTGATCAAAAAAAGCACTGATCACAACTCAACAATTTCTCCAAATTGGAAGATCTTGATTAGCAGACAGATTAATACATGTTCTATAGAGGAAAGCCATTCTTTTGACTGGTTTGATTGTGGATAGGACTGTTAGATGTGAACAGGTCTTATCAGCGCTCTGTCTGCTGCTGCCTGTGTGTGTGTGTGTGCGTGTGGAGTGTTCAGTCACGCTGCTGTAGCATGTCAAATAGAGGTTTCTACACATCTCATATGAGCTCACACTGTAGTCTTTAACTGTGACTGTTTGCCTTTTTATCAGCCCATCTCCTTCTGCTTCCACTTCACTCTTTTCTGCTGTTTATACATTTTATCCTGCTCCTGTTCCTTCCCCCCTTAATGACATTTTCTCTCCTCCCTGTCCCTCCTTTATATCCTTCTCTGCTGCAAAAATCACCAAGACATTTCTCATTGTGACGAGGGCTGCTCCAAAGTGAAATATTATTACCCATTTGATTGTCATTTGGATGTTTTCGAATGTGTTTTTGCTTAAAAAGCCTGTGCACAAACACACACAATGGATTGTTTTAATTCTGCACAACTTTGGCTTGGTTCATTTGAGACAAGCTTGATAAAAGAGATGGATAGATGCCTGGCAGTGTTTCCATTAATGGAGAGAGCATTCATCACGCTGCACGTCGAGCTTTTATATTGGGAGGCTGTAATGAATGAGAGTGGATCTGCCTTGTATTGGTGGTAATAGATGGGTTTTGTTGCACTCGTCAAGTCTTGTATGTGGAGCTCCTTTTGAAAACAGTGACAATAGAAAAGCATTTAGCCCTCCATAACAAAAGAGGCTGTGAATGATTCCTAGGAGCTGTTATTATTATGATTAGCTGCAGTTACTTGTTCACAGACATTAGAATGCTGGAGGTAGTGCATATACAGAGACCTTTACTCCTCAGTGCTCTGACTGACATGGAGATGTCCTATAGGAGCCTCAGCTTTAACATTCTGCTGCCATCTCACATGAAACCATGTGTGAGATTGCCTTGTTATCACTGATCTCAGACCTATATTTTCCCATCTCTGCTCCTTCTTCTCTTTGGCTGTGCAGAGATGATGAATGCCGGCCCCTCTAAAGCACTCATGCTGGGGGTCTGGTCAGAGTCAGGAGAAATTAACTACAATGTGCTGCTCACCTTAGACTAAAGTCTTGCATAAAGACATGTAACTTCACAAAGTAGAATTGGGCTGAGTCATCTGTTGTCAGTGTGTTTTTTGACACACCTCTATGGCGAATATTTCTCACTTCACTCTGCTGCCAGCTTCAGCCGAGCTTTGCTGCCAAAACCTGAAAGTGATACCTAGTTAATGGCTCCTATTGTCGAATATTATGACGAGTTGTAATGTGGAAATGTGTTGGTGGATTATTTCAGCACCATGGACAGCGTTTCACAGGTAGCTGAACTGTTCCTCAAGGCTCAGTAAAAACACACTTTGTGAACAGTTTTTAAGATGACATAAAAGTGTAAGGACAGGCAGATTGAGTGTCTTTTATCTGTTTTAACTAAATGAGTTTGTGCCTGGTTTGATGTAGTCATTATCGGCCACAGACGGACCGCTTTGACTGTGCTGGTGTTACCTGTTGGGCCTATCTCTCTCGGCCTTCATCCTGATTTCAGCCACAGCCTGTGCTGCCGAGCAGACTGCTTAGGAAGGATTAGACATTGTTTCCCTGACACCCAGGCCTCCCATCCGGGCCTCTGATTGGCAGACATAATCCTCCCATTCAGTAAACCTTCGTTACCCTGTCTGTGGAATACGCCACGCTCCACTGCCTCCTAGAGACGGGAGGTGCTCGATAAGGGCAGGCTGCTGCCTGCATCACATTAAGTGCACCCAAATATGAATTTGGAATGCAATCGATTCGGGGCATGGTTTGAATAGAATGGGGAAGCAATTCCGAGTGGATGTATCAAGTGCATGGAGATGTAATATTGTTGGGGAGGTGGGATGTGTCACGCTGGCGAGCACACAGTACTTGTGCTCTGATGAGAGAGTAGTAGTGACAGCCTCTGTCAAGTAGCCATAATGGCAGCCTGTCATGTGCACAGTGCATGTGTTTGTGTGGGACATGCACACATGCAAATATACATGTGACGCTGCCATTAGAATTGACATTAAGGAGATTTCCTCTGATAATTGGGCATTTGCCTCTGATTTGACAGAGCTAATAGCACTTTGAAGTGGAACTCGAGCTCTTTTATATGCAGCTGCATTAATTGCCAGAGTTTCTATTGTTGCTGCAAGGCTTGAGTGTCACCTTTGGTACCATATCCAACAATTAAGTTTGATTTCCATTGTGAGTTGGACTATAATGTTCTTATATGTCATCTGACATATTTAGCGCCCATGCAGGGTAATTACCTATTGTGTGGAGGATAGGATTATTTGTGATTATCAGGAGTAAAGAATGATATATATTCTGCACCAGCTCCTGCCTCTGACAGATATATGCCGAGTCTAACAATAGATTGTCACCTCTGTATTAAGGTTTTCCTATAGCTCCTTTAATATGGACTCAAAATCCCAGCACATCTGGGTATCACTTTCATTGTATTAGCCAGATGATCCCTGACATCAGTTTATGAGTCTGTAATCTTCTAGGCCACACAATAGAGGACTAAACCATTTAACCCTGTGGGGAGGGGCGCCATGATACCAGAACGAAAGAACAGAACACGACGCGAGCTCAAAAACACTTGTCTTGCCAGCTCCAGCCTCTAAGCTCCCTAAGACGTGCCCCGGTTTGGGACAAGTGGGGGAAAGCCACAGTCACACACATCACACATGTACCAGGCCTGAGCCCCTCCCTCTCTCTTTTTCCATCTTTGTCTCTCTGGCGAATTCAATTTTGTCTTCTCCAAGCGACAGCTTAAATGCACACAATCTTATCAGCCTCTGTGCAAGCAGTGAGGGAGGTGATTGAAACAGCCCTCAAGTATTGCTAATGCAGACCCACCTTTCAGCAGTCTTAATTGTGTATTTCTTCTTCCTCTTTTGTTCAAACGCACTCACAAACACAGGAGAGCCAAACACCTTGTCAGTAATGCTGCTTCACCATATGGCAGCTTATAGTACTATTACACTCCCATCAAGCCTGATCAGTGCTATGTGCTGTTTGTCTGGCTTGTATGGGTTAGCTGTATTCACCTTAAAGAAAGGTGTGTGAACGTAAACAGGCAATCTGGAAAGCGCTGATTGGATGTGGTTGTGCTTTGAAATGGCGTCTGAGGTACTATGTGTCTCTTGCAGTCGTACATGGAGGACCACTTGAAGAACAAGAACCGTCTGGAGCGGGAGTGGGAGGCCCTGTGCTCGTACCAGGCCGAACCCAGCACCTGCAGCGTGGGCCACGGAGAGGGCAACGGCAAGAAGAACCGGCCGGATGCTGTGGTCGCATGTGAGTCTCAACACAGGTCCATTATTTCTGTTCAGCTGAGTTATAATAGTACAACTTCAAGCGGCTGTTTAAAGCCACAGTATAAAACTTTTTGCCAAATAATTGACTAAAATGAAACAATGTTTTTTAATTTTGGTTGTTTTTATTGCACTGAAAAACACAGAGTTTTTCTATGTTTTCCATGTGTCCTTACTGTGCTTGTTTCCATGGTAATGTTGTTCCTTTGGCTATAATATTCTACATTATGACATAAAACATATCTGGCTTTATGGAGAATGTTCCAAAGTATGGTTTGAAATGTCTGTTTTCATAGAATCATGCAGGACATGTGCCACGTCCTTAAAGTAAAATACTGTACCTTTAACTTAGCCCCAATACTCTATATTACTAGTCAAATAGAATATATGCCAACTTTATTCACTGACAATAATATTAGTTACATATTGTAAAAAGAGATAATGGATCAACTGGGTGACTGAAACTTGTGTTTCTAGGGTGAAAAAAATACTAGCTTTCTAGCTGTATTTGTGAGTCAATAGAAAAAAATTGAGTTTTTGGTTGCTTCCCAAATGTATCAGTAATCATGCCCACAATGAAAATATATTGCATAACAGATATTTTGACCAAAGCTAAAATGTTATATGTAACATGGCAATGTCATACAGACCTGCTCCTTTACCATTTTGACCTCAACTGAGGAAAATGTATTCACTGACATTTTTTCGATGGGGTAGAAAATGCATGTAAGATGTATAAGTGAATTCAAAAGCTCTGATAAACCATGGGCAGCTTCTACATCTTGGCTTGTCTTAAATATAATGTTTCACTTGGCCCACAGTGAATTGAAGACGGACTGATGTAGGGACTTGACGTTGTTGTGATAAAACTGGTGAAATTGCAGTCCCTTGCAGCATTTAGATTTCCATATCCCTCTGTCGCTTTTGTTACTGCGCGGTGGAAGCAAACAGCACAAATGTTGATGAATTATGGATATGTCTATTACAGATGATCACTCGAGGATCACCTTGAAAGCGGAGAATAACCACGGCAACTCGGATTACATCAACGCCAGTCCCATCGTGAGTACTGTTTATTTGCACATTGTCTAATGCGAGCTGTTTGAAGCCTGTCTGCACGAGGGCACCTGTTGAGGCTGTAGTATTTCAAAAGCACTCCTCATTGATCCGGGCCCACTGATCTTCACTGTGACTTTGTTCTCCAAGCTCTGCGGATTGGTTCATCTTGTTGAATGATATTTTCAAAATGGCCGCTCCCTGGAGACGCCCTCAGAAGAATGACACGCTCCATTATTTGGTCTTAAACTAATGGAACAGACATCACAGTACTGGAAAAGGGCGGAGGTTACTTTTTTGGTATTTTATCTCTAAAATATAGCCAGTCATTGCTTTCCCTTGAGGGTGCTGGGGCAAGATTCCATCAAAAAGAACAGGAAACTATGCATTTCAAATACAGTGGCAGCGGTGATAGATGAGCACGCGCTAAAAGACCATTACTTCTCACAAACAAATAACAAAGCTTTCCACTCGGCCATTTTCCCCCATATTTTACATTTTTAAGTTGATTTATTAAGACTAGCATTGTGAGCATAGACACCCAGTTCAGTTACATCTACATCTATATATATATATATATATATATATAAAATAAAATACTAAAGATTGTGAAGTCAGGGCAGATGCAGTGTTGTTGTGCAGATGAAAGGACAGTAATTACACCACAAAGGGAGACCCCTGGCTGGGCAAAGCAAAACTGTGGTAATTATATCTGTCATGGCTGTGTCTTCCTCCTCATTAGCTTTGGGGCAGCAGCCTACGAGTAAATAATCTGTCGCCTCTTTCTGGGAAGCCGGGGTCAGGCAGGCAAAAGAGAGCTCACATATAGCTGAAAGGTGAAGCTCGGCTAATGGCTAAACCACAAATGATCTCACTCCCTTGCAGACATATAGCATCATTAAGCTAGGAAAAATGCTACACGAACGCCAAACAAGTACCTAGTCTTTCGTTTAGCTGCTTCTGAGGTGGGCGCCAGGTGTTGAAGTTGACATGCATTCTGGTAGAACACAAATTCTCACCAAAAGCCATTTTTACTTCAGAGCACTTCTCGTGGCTTCCTTTCATTTTTTCCCCCCGTTGTAGTAGGAGTCTATCTTCTCGGTACAATAGCAAGGGGAGGCTGAGGAACGCAGGACGGCTCTTTCAAGTTACTGCTTTAGTATTCATGCCAGGATGTCAGCGCGGAGCTACAGCATGTCTGTGTCCTTGAGATTGGCTAAACGGAGTGGCAGTGCTAGCATTCGCACCATTTTTTTTTAAACCAGAAAGGCTAACAAGTAAATACAGATGCTAATTGGAGCCGACCAGTGGGTAATGAACATTGTGAATGATTTATGTGTGTTTTCTTTATTCTGTTTAGGTCCATACTTTTACTTTTGCCCCATTTATTCCTATGCATTATACATATAGTTAACAGTGATTCTAGCCTGGTTCTGATACATTTTAATTAAGCATTTTACTGACCTAAAAAGAACAGTAGCTTGTGTTGCCTCATCAGATAATGAGTTGTGTAACAGGGTTTATAATTTCATCAGTGAGCGAGGTTGGATTAAAATGGGAACACATTACTGTATGTTGAGACAAGAGAAACTCGAGTAAACACTGAGACGTGACAGTGGTGGGAGAGGGAATTCAATTTGAAGGTGTCTGGCTTAAAGGAAGATCTCATTAAAGTAAGAAAGTATTCAGAGTATTAGACAATTGCTGTTTGTTTCACTGTTTATGAATGTTTTGAGGGAAGTAGCATAATGAAGATAAAGTCAAAGAGAGTAATATTCAATAACTAAGCAGAAAAGTTGCATATTAAAATCACATTTGCCATTGTCTTGATGTTGCTGAAATGTTTTAAAGCCATATTAGAAAAGTTAGGAGGTTACTCAGAGGAATATTGTCTGGTATTGATCAATAATTTACTACTACTACTAATACTAATACTAATACTAATACTAATACTAATACTAATACTAATTACTAATATTCTTACTACTACTGTATTTCTCATATATTTCTTAAAACGTGTCATAATTGGTTTGGGTTATTAAACAAAAGTTAACAATATTATTTTTCTTGCTATTTGAATTTTCCAATATGGTCCCTCCACACACAAGTAGCCACTGGTTAGTTGTAGCGTCTATCTTCATCTGCGTACAATTTGTGCAAATTAGAGTATTACTCAAGACAAAAAATACATTTGTATATGTACAAATAACAACATTATACAGTATAGCAAGTCAGTCTGTTTGGCACAATTCTAAAACATGTTCTTACTATGACTGCCATGTGTGACTGTGTACCTGTAAATATATGTCATATCCCACATTTCCAGTCTATGTATTCCCTTTCTTCAGCGAGATACAACATCATTTTGCTTCTATTCCTTGGGGGCATGCATACAAATTCACCTTTCTAAAATGTGATCATTGATTTGGGGTAGAGGGAGAGAGAATGGGGGAGGGCCGTATCACAGGCAACACCTACTCAATCAAGTCCCAATCACATCCCTCAAATCAGGTCCCCTCGGTGTGTCATTATGTCACGCCTTCAGGCTCTCAGCTCGCACACGTCACTATGAACAATGGGGATGGGGAAGTCGTTAGTTAAGGTTTAAGAAGGAGCAGACTTTAGCAAGAAAGGGATACGCTTTTGTGAATCCAAGTCAGATTATTGCGTTTTTATATTGTAAATACACAAAACATTATGGTAAAACAAAATTATGTCAAAATGAATGAATGAAAAATCTAATCAAAATTGGAATTTGAGTGGTAATGTTCAGCAAATTATTTAAGTAACATCATTTCATTTGCAAACAACTCAGTATCTTGCCTTGTTATGTATAAAACTTGCAAACCGTGTACATTAGACCTCTACACACATTTTGAAATGCATGGGATTTTTGTATTAGTTTAGCATTTCTTATTTCAGTCTTCTTTCAAACGTTATTGCCACTGGATATGTATGTTTAAAAATCTGCACTTCGAACACAATACACTTTTTTTTTAAACCTAAACCCCACAATTTGCTTGTCTGAAAAATCACAATTACATCTACGTCTTGTTGGAACTACAATTAGGGAAGTATCATTGTTTACTATTGCATGATAAGTAATGTATGATTTAATGATTTCATATTACCAATCAGTACAGTCAGTTTCAAGCTTAACACATTTGCTATAACTCCCAGTTTACACATCTTGCCTTGTCTAGTTAAAGGTGAACTCTACATGTGCACATAAAATTGAGGGACTTTGCGAAACCTCCCATAAACACTAGAGCTTTCTTTTTTGCTTGTGTTGACCTAGCGTACAATTATACCCCTGCGCAAGGCTAAGTCAGTGTTTCTATGCAAAACAGTACGAGTGCGCGGTGATGTTTAAAATTCCTTTCCCAAACACTGCATGAGCTGACAGGCATACAAAGCACGTCCTTCAGATTTGTGTTAGACATCTACTTCATGCCTGCGTGACATTCTGCGTTTACCAACAATAGCCTGCGGTCCCTTTTGCATTTTAATTTATTTTAATCAAGACTTTTTTTTAAATAATAAACGAACATATCTGGGGGTTATAGAAATGTAGTAGGTGGAAGGATTCTGAATTGGTGAGATAGGGAGAGAGATAGATCATAGGGAGTCAGTGCTGTGGTTCCCAGGAGACGCGCAGCTCTATCCAGATGGAGCCTTTGAAGCAAGTCTTATACCCAGACAGTGTGTTCTCATCTGCCCCTACACCAGCTCACACTCTGCCCCCTCTCTCCCAGATGGACCATGACCCACGCAACCCCACTTACATCGCCTCGCAGGGCCCGCTCCCCTCCACCGTAGCAGACTTCTGGCAGGTAAGAACCAACCATCTCTATTCACACACATACGCTTTCATCTCGTAGCATTTTAAAGCCAGTTGGTAAAAAAAGAAAGAGAGAAAAGAAGACTAGCGCACACAACAGCAGCGCTATACTCCAGGTCCATGTGTTTTTTATGACTGATGGTCTTTGAAGTTTTGAATGTGCTCTTCTGACAAACAGAGCAAGAAGAAAGGCTCCAATACACTGTGTGCCTGTGGAAAGGAGCTGGTACTTCGAAATCATATTACTGTTATTAGGTAGAAGAAAAGGAGGAGGAACATTTTGGCTCGGGTGAAAGAAAAACTAATTCCACTAATACTAATACTACAATTGCACCTGTTTACGCCTACTGCCTTCAGCAAAAAACGGATATCCATGGGTTTCAAAATGATGAAAAATTTGCATTGTTACCATAGCAATGAACAATTAACAACAACAAGATATTCTGTTTTTTGAATAGTGAAATGTCCTCAAAAGATTGCATATAACAGGAAGTTGAAACTCACAAATAGTTTTTTTTTCTAGAATTCCATGATGTCATACTTCCAGGTGGGGGTAAAGGAAATTGCTCCACACTTGTACTTGCTATATTACAGCTGTATATTTTAAATGGACATAGCTAAGCCGCTAGTTGTTGAGTTCCAAATAGGAAGTGGCTCCATGTGACTTTACATTGAAAAATTATCTGTAACTGCTGCAGTGAGCCTCATCATTTTGGTCTTAAAATGTTTGCATTAACTTGCCCTATATGGCCCTTGTGCTTTTATTTCACTATTTTGTCTGTTTAAAAAAATCCTATTCCTAATATGCTTTCAATAGTTTCCCATAACAGCTAGCTTTGTGAGCTTCATTTGATTGGAGCCGAATGCTATAGGTGACGTCACACACTCCCTTAGTCCACTAATATATAATTACAAAATGATTACAACTATTAAGAATAGTACTTTCACTTGCAACTTCTCAGTTTCTATTAAATAGTTTTCTATTAAATATTATATGATATGCTTATAGAAAGCCAACATATATTCCATAAATTGACTATAATTAAAAGATCCATACAGTCAATTACTTATCGCCTTATGAATTAGCAAATACCAAAGCCAATTGAGCAATGTCCTTGCCCATACTTCCTACCATCATTAAGCCTGATATTCTCTAAAATAACGCTCATGCTAGCACATAATGGAATGTTTTCTGTTGCCATTGGCATTTCCAGCCTTGTCCATAAATGTCAGAGGCCCATAGCATTAATCACAGGATATAGGCTATTGTAAAGCAGGTCTGCTTGCTTCAGAGGTATGCCTTAAATGATCCATGCTGGCCAAATGGCATTCTCATGTGTTAATGGCACAGCGCTGTAGTAATTAGTGGGCCCATCACCTCCATATGGTGAAGTAACTGGGCCAGCGTGACCAGGGTTTAGGAGTGAGGGGCATTAAACGGGGCACAGCAGCTGGCCTCACTCACTGCATTATGTCATGTTACAATCACACTGTTGCAAGTGCTGATTCTGACTTTCTGCACATTTTGGAAGTTATCAAATACAACATGAACATTTTAAAGCAAGTCTATTATGCAAAAATCTACTTGTCAGTACTTTTAACCATGTCACAACTGTTTCCCCTTCTTGTTTTCCCTCTTGAAGTTGTATTTGGAGGTGTAATCTGCTCCCATTGGGCACCTCAGTTTTGTAACACGGAAGTCAGCATACTTCTTTTTTTAATGAAGTCATATTAGATGATTATTGCAAATTCTAATATAATGATTCACATGTGTCATAGATTATATCACATTGTATAGCATATTGTATAGCAGGCTAAGCGCAATATGTGTTTTTAAAGTTAGGATAGAGGGCCTAAACATATAAAGAGAAAATTCTGTTCTATTCTATTATTAATAACTATTCATGCATTAGAAACTGGACAAAGCAGGTGTTGGAGCTAAAACGTTTTATTAGAGCATGAAACTAAAAACATGATATTTATTGAATTGAATTAACACATTTCAACTCATAAGCATTTTTTATATAATTCTGTTTTGGAAACCACTTGAAGAAGTTATTGTCTATAAACATGCATATATTTACATAAGCTTCATAACCTCTGTCTGCTAGCTTACAAGGATGTTATAAGAACAGAACAAACTGGCTGCATGCTTGTTTCTTTTTAAATTACCTTCTAAAGATAAAGCAGTGGCAGCTGTAAAACCCAATTCATTTACATACAAACTCATTGTTTCAGGTGTGTGGCCTTAATTGACTGCAGTGGCTCCAATTGGAACCAAATGGAATTGGTTTAATTAGTAAATTTATAAGTGCCTCAAACAACACAGCTGATAATTATCACTTTTGTTTATTTGGCTGACAGTTCTTTCCATGCCAGGTGAACAAAATGCATTATCCCAATGAAATGAGCTGTTTAGCCCACAAATTCAGCTCTAAACTCTTGTCTATTAAGTGAAAAATAATGGGGAAATTAGATGTGGATTGACATGCTGACATGGTGAACACCCGACTAAGCAAAAGCCATTCATTATTTAGTCGTGGTTGGATTGTGGCGAGGAAAACAACACACTCTTTCCCTTATTAAAAGTAAACAAAAAGGTGGAAACACTGGCAGTCTCATGCAAATGGACCATGCAGGAGGCAAATCTCTGTGCTGTGTCCTATCTAATCCGGCCCAGCCCAAGGCAGCGCTCTGAAAGGATAATCCCCTGCTCCTCTCCTCACTCGTACCTCAGCTCTGGTGGGCCCTCATTTCCACCAGCCTAAAAATAATAAATAAAAAACAATCTGGCTAGTCAGCAAGAGTTCACAGTGCAGAACATTTGAGTAATATTAAACCATAATGTCAAGTACTGTGCAAAACAAGAATGATTACTATTTTAAGGAACAGTATGTATCTTTCTGGAGGTGGCACGTGACCTGCATGATTCCATGGAAATAGAAAGTTAAAATCATACTTTGGAACATTCTCCATGAAGAAACATTTCTTAATGCCATACTGTGGAATATTAAAGCCAACATTTTCATGGAAACAAGCAGAAGGAGACCTTTCTCCACACAAAATAAGAGTCAGGTTTGTGGAGATGCAAGCTGCCTCAGGGCAGCACAGCTGTTTTTCAATGAAATAAACACAACCAAAAACACTGGACATTTCTTTTAAAATGTATTCTGATTTTGACAGTACAGTTGATATTATAAATTTTTAACTATATCTCCCAATTCAAGCAAAGTCTGAATATAATGTAATGGATGTAATTTCAAGCAGTACTAAAGTTATTAGTCCAAGTAAAGCACAAAAAATAAAGTTGTATGCACACATTACAAAAGTATCACTTGACCGCATTTTCCCTTTCCCACTATGTTATGCTTGCTCTGTTTGCCCAACATGACCTGGCTCTCCACTCATGCAAGGAGAGAAAAAGCTGTTCCTAACCACCCCCAAATATTTGCCAAATCTGCCAAACTAAACCGTGCGGGACATTCTCATCACCTTGCCTAATGTCATCGCATCCTGGCACAGTTGGCTTCTAATGTGTCCACCGGGCCGGATCAGGAGAGCTTGTGATTAGTGTATATTCAAGGCCGTTGTGGTTTTATAGCAATCATAAAAAACAGCATTTCCAGCTCATTTTGCTAATAGCTGCTTTGGGCCTGTATTTTGATCCCAAGGACATGTTAAGATCGTGATAAGATGAAACGGCGCTTTGTAAAGAGTCTACTGTTAGCGTGGCCGACCCTCGAAGTCCCCCCTCTAGCCCCCCTCCCGCTGCTCCAGCCAACATGTATCATTTGTCACACGCTGAGAGCTGACATTTATTCATACATCCTGGACCCGGATTAAGAAATCAATTTCAGTTTAATACAAAGCTGTCAGTAATGCTAATGTGCAATATGGTGCGATCAGCGGCAGAGTTCACCTACAATATTACTGCCGTAGATAGTATAGTATTAAAGAGGAACTGTAATTGTGATATGGTGTTTTTCTCTGTCTATAGATGGTGTGGGAGAGTGGCTGTGTGGTTATCGTCATGTTGACCCCTCTGTCGGAGAACGGAGTGAAGCAATGTCACCACTACTGGCCAGATGAGGGGTCAGATGTCTATCATATCTATGAGGTAACAATAAATGTCCATGTAAGCTAGCGTTATGGGCATGTGACTTCTTTCAATCAAGTGCAATAAAATTATAATTCTAGCATACTACCAAGCTATTAAAACTACCTGTGAATGCCTATCCAGTCATTTCAGAATGATGAAAAATCATAACCGTTGCCATAGCAATTAAAACTTTTAAACTAATTGGATATGTTTTGAACTGGAAAAAGTCATTGAAACGTTGCATGTATCTGGAAGCTGATAGCACAATTGTCTTATCCGCCATCTTGGAAATCCCGACTGAGCCTTCAAGAGGTCTTGGGACTGCTCTACTGCAAGCAGCTTCTGTTTGAACTGAAAATGGGGCAAATGCTAGAACAAACTTCTCTATGTGTGCAAAATTTTACCTTTTGTTTTGAGTAATGTGTAGTTTTCAGATTACCTCATATTGATAGTCATGTTATAAATCTGACTCCCAGTCCTCGTCTATATAAACGTAACATTTTACATTCGTATTGTGGTCCTTACTGGCTCCTCTGCTGTTTGTCCCAGGTGAACTTGGTGTCTGAACACATCTGGTGTGATGACTTTCTGGTGCGGAGCTTCTATCTGAAAAACCTCCAGACCAACGAGACCCGCACTGTCACTCAATTCCACTACTTGTCCTGGAGTGACCGCGGCATCCCCACCTCGGCCCGCACCCTCCTGGACTTCCGCAGGTAACGCCCACACCCCTGCAAACCAGCCTCTTCTGAAACCCCTCATATTTCAAAAAGCAAATATATGGGTTTGTCACAATAACACTTTCTAAATTGTGCTACTTCCTTCATGCTTTATTAAGGCTATTTAAGGTATAGTTATTATAAAGTTGAACCAAATAAGATGTTTTTTGTATATTGCGGTTAGAAAATTACAGATTAACAGATACCCACTAGAGTAAAAAAGTACATATGGTAAGTATTACGAATAAAAAATAGTGCTGTTCTTTTCTATTCTGAGCTACAAGTTAATGATTATTGTGACTGGCCTACCTAAGCAAATTGCCTGCTCTAAATGATCTCTTACCTGAAAATCAAATCTGTGGTCCTTTATTCTTTATTCTGGCTCCCCATTAGTTATTACCTCAACAATAACTATTCTCCATGAGTCCTTCCGCTCATTTTTGCCTCTTGGTTGCCCTGAAGAATGCCTGCTCTAAAACGAAGTATATTTCTCTGCTATCCTTTTTATCCTGGGCCCGTTTCCCTCACCTCCCTCCAGCACATGTGATGCAGCAAATTAACAGCCCCACACTGCCTGGCTTGGCTCTGGAAGAAAAGAAATGAAAAAAGCAAATTGAAACACCAATTAAATGAGAGCTGTCTTACTAAAATCACAGAGAGGGGGTAGGTAGTGTCTGAACCACCTCGCTGTCTTCATGTAATGTGCTCTGGTGTAAGAGAAGCTACCGTCCTCTAGGGAAGAGCCAGGAGGGGTAGGAAAAACCCTCCAAATGAGAATACATGCGTTCGTTTTGGATGGAAGTCTAACCCTGAGATGCAAATGAGACACAAGGACAACGCTTTCATGTCAGAGAAACTGGAAGATGCCATAATGTTTATTTTTTATTTCGATTCGTACACCAACTTTAGAGTGCTAGCTAAAATCTAATCACAAAGCTCTCTCATCACCATTAGCCATTTTAAAGGACTATATATGCTCATACGCTCTTCAGTCGCGGTGTCATGGTTTCGGCCAACTCGTGCGTTGCGGTTGCCAGTGTCATTTTTGTGATGTTGCAGCTAGTAATATGAGCCCAGTTGCATAGTCACAAAAGTGATCATTGGAAACTGCGTCTCCTCAGCCAGGCCTGTGCACAAACTGTCTCTCACTCCTTCCCCCCCTCCTTCTCCTGCTCCTCTACTGCTCCTTCCAATCCTCTGGCTTGCATGGACACACCAACTGCAGCCCTGTGAATGCTCGGAAAATGCTACTAATGAAAACTACTTACTCCTCAAATTCTGTTAGAGGAATGAAGTTCTGATAAATATGGTTCTGCAAGTAATCCACATTGTGTGGAGTGATGGACAATAGTGCACTGTGTGACAATATCTGACTTCCTGTCTGTGCTTCTGCTGTTGTTTGTGATTTAACATGTTCAGCTGATTGTACTAAAAGCTAGAAAAAAATTATCTCAACTGTTCTACTGTAAAAGATTCAACAAGGAATTAAATTCATAGCTGATGTAAATAGGGTTATTAAATACATTTTCACCAAAAAGAGCGTCATCATTAAATATAACATTTATGATGCTACTAAATGCCAATGCACTGACTGAAGCTTGTAATTACACTGGATTTGTCAGGGCCATATCCACATAGCCAGTTATTTTGAAAAACAACAAAACCCAGAGCAGAGTACCTCTATGATGAAATATTTAGCTGTTTCTCCATTGATAGGTGAAAAATGGGGATGTGGAAGGATGTGGGGAGCTCCCAGTGTAGTCAGTAGTTTCCATGGCAACAGCGGGGTGTGAAAAGGCTGGCTGGCCTTCAGAGCGCCTGTGGTGTAAAACATTCATAATTGGCCGGGGTTAATGCGTCGGCGGACGGCGATCACAACATCACACCGCCGCATCCATCAGCCACATGTCACAAAACGCTGTTTGAACGCTGCTCAGTTTATTTACGTGCTCCCTCCTCTTCTAATCAAAGTGATTGATTGACAGGCGAGCGCATCACTCAAGATTTGGCTCAATCTTTTGATTATTGCAGCCATTAATTTTACACAGGCCACAGAGGAGACTTCCCATGTGAGACATATTTGGTTTAATTGTCACTGTTATCATCAGCAGGAGGGATCGATCTTTGCTCCACAATATTATTTGTTAGCTTATTCACTTAGGATGATTTGCAATCAAGCTTGCAATAACATTGAATTTTCTCTGTTTCTTTATTTCAGAAAGGTTAACAAGTGCTACCGGGGCCGATCGTGTCCGATAATTGTCCACTGCAGGCAAGTATGAGTGTGTGAGGCCATGACAGTGCTGACCTGCTGCACTGAGGTGAAACGTGTTTGTCTTGGTCTGTGTGTTGACTTAAAGCTCAGTCCATTTACTCAGTGTGGCTCCAGTGGAGCTGCTGTTTATTCCACTGGCTCTGTCCTTATGGAAATGCGTCTGCAGACACTCACCCAAAACCTTTCCATTTCCCATTTGGCTGAGTTAGTTAAGTGACTGTGATTGGTTTGCATTAAACACCAGGTATCAGTCTGGCCACTTTTAATAGTCACATCCTGTTAAGTCATGCGTGGGGCCAGGCTCGGCAGTTGCCCTCAGAGGAGATGTGCGGCCCGAGTGTCTAGCAGTGGATTAATGAAGCAGTGCTGCTCAAGCCGCTCTCCTGTTTTATTGGCCTGGCCTTTATTACAGAGATGTGCATGCCTTGTTTGCAATTAACATGCAGAGGCGCTGAATGGCCGGCGGGCACAAAGGGAGGCTTTTCATAAGACTATCTCTGGAGTAATGGAAAAGCAAGGCTCTCCAAAAGCTGCTGTGGACCCGCCCCTGGCCTCTCACCCTCTCCTCTGCTCCTGAGGTGCATGTATTTAAAAGCCTTTGTCCCCAGTGTGCCTCACAGGCCAGTCCCCTCTCCCCAACAGCCCACAGACCAGACCACACATGAGCTCGTGTGCAAAGCTTTAACATAATCACTCTTGTTGGAACATCAAATATTCAGATCTGTTATTTTTACTGCAATATTGGGGATTAATTCAGATTTCTGCGTCTTTCCTGTTCCATATTATCTGTAATATCAAGCTTTTAAGCAGATGGAGCCGTGTGTATCTCTCTGCATAGACTAATTTGTGTTTAAATATACTCCCTACTTCACAGTCTCTCGGCAGATGCACATGTAAATGAGCAATTTGTTTCCTTAAAAGAAAAACACTCTGAGATGAAAGCGGCTGTGGCTCTCTCTGCCTCTCTAATCACCTCCTCTCTCTGCTCTTGCAGCGATGGCGCAGGCAGGACTGGGACCTACATCCTGATTGACATGGTCCTGAATAAGATGGCCAAAGGTAACGATCAATGACTTTCCTTTCTCTCTTTCTGCTTGTCTCGTGGTGTTTCCCTGGCAACGCTAAAGCTGCTCATTTTCAACTGAGGGTCTTGGAGATGCATTAGAGGGTGACTTCTGTGAGGCCTGGAAAGACAGGCACAGAGCGCAGGAGGGAGGGAGCGTGCACAGAAGAACAAAAGAGTCCAGCGCAAAGTGGGAATGCTGGAGAAATGGGGAGCCCACATTAGTAATGATCTTTTAGGCCTCAGTCACACTGTGTTGACCTGCATCACAATGGCAGTGTGAATTTAGACAGCGTATGCATGGAGATGAAATGTTTAAAGAGCAATGCTGTGCAGGTGCTCTCTGCTTGAAAATCAACACTTAATATTTAATAACTACTGTGATATATGTCATTGTGTCTTGCTTTATTATTGATTTTGAATTATTTGACCATGGATGTGTGGATGAATATAACCTCACTGTATCTCATTTAAACTCTGCCACAAAAAAGTTAAAATTTTATAGAAATGTTCCCATGTTTCTCCAGCAGGTGCAGGTTTAAACAAATGGTAGCTTTTCTTTCTTATTCAAATACCAAAATGAAAACTGAGCCAGCTCCTGATCTGACTTATCTCAACTTATTGTTATTGGAAGCTGCTCCCCTCATCGCCTTAAACCTCTTCAAGGCTTAGCTCGCCCTCTGCCCTTTACCCTTCGACCTCTCACCTTTGCCCCTGTCTCTGTGTGTGTGCACCCCCTCCCCTCCTGGTGCAGAGTCCAGAGTGTAAAGCGGTAATAGGGCTGACCCATCCAACTGCAGTTCAGAATCAAACTGGACTCTGGTCCCGGTGCAAAGACCTAAAACTTCTTTCTTTTGTAACCTTTTGTGCACCGCTCCTGTAAGAAATGAACATAATCGCGCTCTCTCCGCAAGTTTCTCCCGTGGTCCGAGAGCCTCTCCTCAGCTTAACTTTGGAATCTAGCCCTTCTCAGACATAAAAGTCCGGCTGGAGCACTGAAGCACTTTGGAGTACTGGTCCAGCTGCATTAAATCCCTCCTTTTTTCTGGTGCTTTCACAGACGTCGCATTTTCACTGGCTTTCAAAACATCTCAGGAGCTCTTTACTCTCCTCTCCCCTCCCTTTTTCTCAAACCCGGCCCGGCAGCCCGCATGAAATCCATAAATCTGAAAGGGGAGTAAGATCTGCAGATTAACATCACACATTTGCAAAGCTACAATGGGCTTAAATCAAGAGCGCCCGATGACTGTGGAAGTCCTGCAACTGTTGCATGAGCCGGGCTGCTGGGAAAGCTATACATCATTTTAATTAGACTTGGTGGTACATTAGCACACGTACATGCTAACGGAGTTTGATTGTTGCATTCGATTCTGTCTATATTGTTCCTGAAAGCATTATAGCACATTTGTCAAACCCAAATACTTCCTGGTGCCTATTTTATCTGAAGCACAAGCATGGCTTCGGTCCAAGTCTTTGGAGGGGTGAATGTAATATTTTTCAATGGCTGCGCTGGTCCAAAGGGAGCGCAGCATAAAGAGAGATTGACAGATGTGAGCAGGATTACTCGGCCTGCTTTGAACTCACTCCAATTTTCGGTGTGTTGCAGGTGCTAAAGAGATTGATATTGCCGCTACCCTGGAGCACTTGAGAGACCAGAGAGCTGGCATGGTCCAGACAAAGGTAAGGTCCTGGGCTTTGAGCTGGAGTGTGCAGGGGGGTGTGAAGGAGAGAGGGGGGGGGGCGGTCATTCAAACAGACAATTGTGGAGTTGATGTGCGCAGAATAAGGGGAAATGATGTGGTAAATATAACTCAACACTGCACATCTAACAGGGGCCTGGGACTGTTTCACAGATTACGTTTATATATAGCCTGACTAACTGCCACCATTATTTTTGTTCTTCTTTAAAAAGTCCATTTAAATCTAAATTTACTGGCAGGTTTTGATTTTCAATTTAATATTTCAATTTTATATATCAATTCCCTTTTATTATTTTTGAATTAGATCTAAATATTCATTTGGTCACCCCCTACGTCTGTGTGGGCTTACGACGCTCCAGCCAATGGAAAGTTTGGAAATAGCCCCTGAACTTTGATAAGTTTGATTGAAACACCAGTGTTAATATTAGTCCCATCAGCGCTGCTATTTTAGAGCCTCCGCCTCACCGTCATTTCACAGCAGGCCCTCTCCACCTCCACCATTTTGGAAAATGGTACTGCATGTTCTCAACATTTCAGGCTCTAATACAAACAGTCACAAGCCTCTTCTGTTTCTCCTTTGTAATGGGGAGGAATAATAACAATAATAATAAAGCGGCCTGGAGCAGCAGTGGGTGATCATATTTATGGCGGTGCAAACAGACTGCACTGTTCCTCGAAGGTTCATTAATGCTGCTTTTACAGCTCTGTACTTGTGTTGTAAAAACGCACACAATCACTCAGGCTCATTCCCTCTGACATGTCTAAGTGAAATTATATTGGAATACTGTTGATTCCACTTTGGGACTGCATGCTGGGTCTACACAGAAATTAGCTTGTAATGAGCTATGAAATTCAGAGTTAGATTTCAAGGATTGGGCTGCCAATTATCCTTTCTTTCCTTTACGATGTTGCCACTTTATTTTTGGATGGGGCTTGAAGAAAATAAACATTGATTTGCCTTCTTTTTGGCTACCTCTTTGACAGGCGTCAACATGCAGTAATTACAGCATGTCTAGCCATTTTTCCTTCTCACTACCCATTTGTCTGTGATCAAGTGGACAGACATTGATCTCCCCCTAGTGGTGGAAATGAAAACTGCGCTTTATGCCCTGAAGGCTTCTCAAAGTATCGTTTCAAATCTGGGCTTAAGATATACCGTCGCTATAGACAGGTGCACTTATATATTCTCGCACCATCAGAAATAGCAAACACTCGTGATAATCTCAAAGCGCTGCCACAGTGACTGGCTGCTATTGATTTAGCCTATCCTCAGGCCAGACCATGGCTGTGTTGTGTGTTGACACATCTGAAGACTGTTCCCTCCCAACTCCTACATAGCTTTTTCTGTGTGAGTGGACCCCATGGCCTGCAGCCTGGGGAGAGGAATACAAAAACAGCAGGTCTGGGGGGCACACATCAATCAGCCCTCTTCCACGCTCCTATGGGACAACTCTGAGTCATATTCACCAACAAATGCACACACTCACTCACACACACACACACACCTGAGGAACAACTCAAAGGATGTCCATTTTAAGACACACCTGGATGGATCGATGAGTGGAGGATACAGTTTCTTGTCCAGAAGTGGCCTGCCCTTTAACAGGTGTCCAAATACTCGGCGGTCAGGGTCAGCATAGACGAACAGTAGCAAAAAAAAACATAAATGCCAATCATTCTCACACTCTGAAATGCAAACAGGAGCTAAAAACTTGCTTCTATTTTCTGTCTCTTGCAGGAGCAGTTTGAGTTTGCCCTGACAGCCGTGGCAGAGGAGGTGAATGCCATCCTGAAAGCGCTCCCCCAGTGAAGACCCCCACCTCCCACTCCTCTTCGTCCCTCTTTCTCTCTTTCTCACTCTCTCTCTCTTTTCTCCACTCTTCCCTTTCTCTCCTGGCTCACTGAGCACAGCTTCCTCTGCCCACTCAAGGCTGACACCTCCTTCCTTCTCCATCTCTATCTATATACTCTATAGCTGTATACTTCTGAATGTCGTGCCAGGTTTCTCACCACTGGAGCCATATTTGCTAATGTGAGACTGCCGAAGTGTTGACAATGATTGGCGTTCCTACTTTGGGATTTTTAAGACACATTTTCACCAAGTTACACTATACTTAAATGGATATTACAAAGTCCTATATTGTGAATTTTGTGTTTGACATTTTTCTATTTAGACATTCGGTCTGGAATATTTAGCAATTTCCATAAATATTGAAAAATGTAGATAATAAATTAGGCTGTAACAAGTATCAACATATGAAAAAAATCCAAATTGCTGAAGAGTGCTTGGTGAAAATGTGTTAACATGACCCAGTGCAGTGATAAACAAACTCCCTCTAGTGATACTGACCAGGTGTTCATGTGATGTCCAGTTAAAAGTTCTTCTGACAAATATTTACCATTTAAAATTATGATTGCCACTAAAATGAATAGTGATGCGTTCTTCTCACAAGATAAAATGTAGTCCTTGTTGTGTATATTATTAATTAATGGATTAATGTTTGAATTGGTCTTAAAGTTACAATGAAGTTTCCCTTTGTATCGAAACAGACTCTGATCAGCATCCTGTTGACTTGGGTGTATTGTACATTGATTACTACATATCACCTCTATTTTATTTGACAATGCTTGAATACTTCTCACCCTTCGTTAACTTTGAGTGTAATAATAGAGAATATATTTAGATCTATGTCATCTTGCAGTAGTAATACAATGATGTGCTTAAACAGACTTGTACAATAAGAACTGTTCATTCCATCTCTGCTGTATTGTGATATGTGACAGATTTCTCTTCATGTATGGACAATGAATGCCATGATAAATCCCTCTATCTATAGTACTATATGAGATGTATACGGAGAGACTCAATATATTTTGTGTGAACAATATTAACATTGATAATAAATGAATCAGGAACAATAACCCGATCTCCCATGGTGCACTCTTTCTTATCGCGTTTGTGGTTTGGATAAAGAGGAGCTGAAGGAGGACTCCCTGTAGGTTTCTATAAGGTAACGCTCACACAGTCATGTATGCAGCTACCGAGGCCGAATAAAAAAGGAATAACATTATCTCCAAATGCATTTTTTATCATTTAGAGTTTCTGATGTTAAAATACATGTCAGAAAATGAGGTGCACTGGTGGAGGTTCTGTCACCTGCTTTTCTTCATTGAGATATGAATGCTTTTCCACAATCATTCCACACTATGGCTTTAAATGTATTATCTACAATGTATTTTAAAGCAATAAATACTGTAACTGAGTAAGAGGAAGATAGATACATTTAATGTCATAGTGTGGAACATTCCAGGCAAAGTAATGATATTTCCATGGAGAAAAGTTACATAATGTAGCTTTAATAATGCCATGGCCAAAGACTGTGGTTTTGTTGGCAGTTAACAGCCCGGGTCAGTCTTAATTGCCCCATTACTAGATCGTCTTTGCTGAAACATAAATTGTTTGTTTTCATCGAGCTATAAACTGATAATATATTTTACACCATGTTATGTGCTATAACAGTACATGATTAATGAATAATTAGCATATCCATTACTCACATCCCAGAGTCATAAAGACAGACTCATTAAAATCAGATATACATGCAAATGAAATGATAACGGCTAAATGAAAATCTTGATTTTAAAGACGTACTATGGAAATTTTCTGGTGAAAGGACCGCTACCTGCTTGTCTCCATGGAGATGTCCTTGCTTTGTCTGGAGTGTTCACAGTATTGCATTATTGTAAATTGTATTGTATTAAACTTCTCCTTGGACACAAGCAGATGAAGTCATCAGGCCAAGTTATGGGTCAGATCTGTGGAAAGACGACCCCTCTCACAGTAAGAACGTACCTTTGATCAACACATGAAATAGAATAAATACAAGATAAATACATTTAATGCCATACTGTTTACATTCTAAGGAGAGAAGCAGGTGACAGGCCCTCCACAAGACAAATTACACAAAAATTACACAGTGCAACAAAATTAGAATTGTAAAAATAAAAAATAGATGTGATTCCATTTGCAGAGAAGCAGAACAAACCTGAATACATGGCACGAATGGAGAAAGTCTAATAACCTGAGCGGATGTGCGTGTGCGTTCCTCCCTGCCCTGACAGTTTTAATAGCTGGGAATGAGACTTCATGCACTTCCAGAGACCTCATTTACATATGATTCACTGATGAGCTGCCACCGCTAACCAGCAGCACCAAACCAAAGTCCTATTAATATTCTGCTATTCAGGTTGTAAAGCACACAGACCTAATCAGCTTAGAAATTACTGTATGGAAACCGTAATTACGCATGTTTAATTGCTTATCATCCGATGGGTATAAGTTTATTAGAAAAATATATTCATAGTAATTGCTTCCTGAGGTATGAGCTACAACAATACCATGTGATATCCTGTCAGCTCCCATTTGTAAGGATTAATGTACTCAGAAAAGTCCCTAAATTACATACTATGCCTCTTCTTTGGGATGCCTGGTTTAACTCAAAGTGATTTTTAATGTAGACAGTTCTAAATTACAGCTTGAGTTCGGATAACTCTTTGGACTGAGTTGGGAGAAATCAGCGTCACAGGCTATAAACAGGTACAAAGTCGGCAAACGTCTGTGTAATCATGATTCCACTAAAACGCTCCCACACACCTGCCGACAGGAGCAGCCGACAGGAGCAGCAGGCAGGAGCTGCAGGCAGAATAAACAGCCAAATCAAAAGTGACACAAGAAGCAGAACAGAGACATCTGACCAGTGGTGCTAAGACTACTGAAAATGTGTACTGAAGTAAAAGCACAGATAATAAAAACATACTCAATTACAAGTGTAAGAACTGCTGCTAAAATTGTACTTAAAGGCCCTGTACCGGATTTTTCCCCCATATATACAACAACACAGATGTGTAGACATACATTTTGTATAAGCAGCTCAGCTTCGGGTCAAAATAAATCAACTGCATAATCAAGAAGTGTGTGTTTGCATGCTAGTTGTTGTTAGCTTTACTGTCATAGCAAAACTAGCTCTAGTCTCTGAGAGGAGTGAAAAACGCTCATAAACTCACTGTGCTAGACAAGTGGGCAACTAGCATGGTGGAAAACATCAACATGCGGCTCATGTTTTTAGTATAAGTTGTCACCATAATGTAGGCTCTACTGTTGCTAAGAATGCATAAGGGAAGTGAGGAAGAACTCTGGACTGCTGCAAACTGTTTAACATGATCTAGTTCAGTTTTTTAAGATTTTAAGATAGTAAACATTAGGTAGCCAACAGTGCCTTTATGTAAAAGTTAGGGTGACCAGACGTCCCTGTTTACCTGGAACAATCCCAGTTTTGAGCCCTGTGTCCCCTGTTCCAACAGATTTATACAAAACCACTGATTTGTCCCAGTTTTATACAAGAAATGTCCCAGGTTTTTATCAATTTGATCTAAACCAGGTCTAAACCAGGCCTAAACTAAGACTAAACCAGGACTAAACCAGGACTATCACAATTTTTGACTAATCTGATCCCCGCCAACAGTAAAGAGGAGCATAAATTGTCATTTCTTTAGCCAAAATACAGAACACTGTGTTTGCAAATGACCATAAAGTAAAAAACAAACAAAAAAATGCAGCATCAGAAGTTCCTCAGATTATGACTGACGCAAGAATGCACAATGTTACATGTTTTTTTTCGCAATTTTATTTATACTGACACCATCCCAACCCGGGTTTGTCCCAGTTTAGAATTTTGAAAATCTGGTCACCCTAGTAAAAAGAACAAGTATGAAAAATTTTGAAGTCCTAGTTATAATTACTCATATACACAATTTTAGATCACTCATCATCAATTTTAGATCTAAAAAAAAATCTATTAAATTACAGTAACATGCATGTTTGTTGGTTACTTTGCTCTGGTGCATCTAACAGAAGACTTTCACCAATGATTTCTTGAGCCATGAAACATGTAGATCAAACCTGCTCTGGTCGGGTTTCTCAGTGGACGACACAGGACCCACCCAAAACCCATATCCCTTCCCATACAGACCAGGACCATCAGCAGCTCTGCCTTTGCTTTGAACATCTCTCTGCGCTGTATTGTACGCACTCTTGGCACGGCTCTCCTCTGACACACTTGTTCATTCAGGCCATTCAGTGGGCCAATGCTCCAGCAGGCCAGTCAACAGCTCCTCTTTGGTGAGCGTCCCTTTGAACACTTGAATACAGACATGGTGAGGACCGTGGATAACATCAGATAACACAAGATTACCAAGTGCTTTGGATGGTGTAGTGTAAACTGTGCTCAGATAGACAGGTGGGCAACTAGCATAGAGTGACCAGATGCCCCTATTTACCCGGGACAGTCCCAGTTTTGAGCACTGTGTCCCCTGTCCCAGCAGATTTATCCAAAACCAGTGATTTGACCCAGTTTATACAAGAAATGTCTCTGGTGTCCCTACTTTTGACTAATTTGATCTATGCCAACAGTAAAGAGAGGCATACATTGTCATTTGTTTAGATAAAATGCCGAAAAGCTGCTTAAAAATCACCAAAACACAAAGAAAATGTAACTACACTGACTCATGTTGGTCATGAATGAGTCAAGTGCAGAACAATTTTCCTTCATTACGCACTCGTTTCACAATTTTATTATTATCACCACAAACCAGGGATGTCCCAGTTTTTAATTTTGAAAATCTGGTCACCCTAAAGTTGCATGGTAGAAAACATCAACATGTGGCTAATGTTTTTAACATAAGTTGACCAAAATGTAGGCTATACCATAAACCTATCTTACAACATTGCCCCCTGGTGCATGCTAACATACAACTCTAAAGCTGAGTCTCACTATTGTAGGTTGTCATAGGGTAAATATAGGATATGCTTTATTGTGTCAGTTGGGAAATTTGTCCTGTGCATTTGACCCCTCCTTCATTTCTACTGGGAGCAGCAGAAACCCTTCTCCAGATCTTGAGCCATGTTTACTTGCTGTCTCCATAGCTCTGTATTGTCACATTTATAAGATATTTTTGAAAATAAAACCATAACTCCCACCAGGCCCTAATCTTTGCCATAACCCTATAACCCAACAAACATGAGAACAGAGCTGTGGAAACACAGAGCTGACCCAGGTTTATGGTTAGGAGAAATAGCTGTAGTAGAGTAGCCAAGATTTGCAAGAAGCAAAAGAATTTTATTTACCATCAGTATGGGACCCGGGACCTGGAGGCATGAACCCTCAACACTAGGGCTGGGTATTATTAAGAAGTTGCCAATACAATGCACACCTCGATACATAGGCCACAATACGATGCATATCTCAATACAGTGAGCTTTTGATTCAAAACACTATATTTCAAATCATTTCAATACGGTTCAATAAAAAATAAAGGCTAAATGATGGCTGTGATACTAAAAGTCTTTGTTAAACCACTTCTTGTACAAAGTAAATATGAAACACACAGAATTTTAATAATTAAAACAGTGAAAATATCAAATGTGTCTCATAAACGAGTTTCCTTCCTCTAAACAAGCAACAAAACTGTAGTGCTGTAACAAAATAATTTAGTAAAATACACCAAAAAATACTCTTGCCGATATATTGATACAACAGGCCCCGATATTGATACTGTATCATCACATTAAACAATA